AACAGAAAACAAAGTACCCTCTCGGTATGCAGGAAGGCTCTGGGATTTGCAGTCCAGGATCCCGGGCACCAGTTTCAGTTTCAGGGCCATCTTTTCTTTGGGGTTTTCACATGGTGTGCATTCACTTTGGTGGGAGGTAGGAGGTGGGCTTGGGAAGGGCACTTCCTTTCCTGAGCTTTAAAAGCACAATCCATCTTCACTTTAGGACTGAAGCTAGCTTGAATTTCGGCAGGGCTTTAAAGTCTGCAGGGAATACAGTGACCACCTCTGGGAGGGGCAGCAAGGTTTGAATGAGAAAAGCTACAAGGAGCTGGCCTCTAAGAATGCCTCTTCAATAACAGATGGGATTAGCAGCCCCCAGCACTTTAATGAGATGGTTTCCCCTCCTCTTCCTACTGCTTACCTGCTCAGACAATATTAATTGCCACATCATTGTTTGGAAACCCCATGGGGCAGAGAAGAAAGGAACCGCAGAGTCAGAGGTGGTTCTGGGCCAAACACTAGGAGAAGCCTCAGAATTTGCCTGAAACAAAATGCTTAGCGCTCACAGACTGCTGTGTGCTCTCGGAGAGACAAAAGAAGAAATTTAGGAAGGGTGTGGCCAGTGGAAGCTTCTCCAGCCACTGGTGATCACCTTCCCAGGGGTAGGGCAGATGAGGGGCATTTCAACTGTTTCTCTTCTCTGACTTTAAATTCAAACCAGACAGGCATTTTTGAATCTTCTGTTTCTGGGGCTGGGGAGGAATGGGGGTCAGAGATGCAACCTAATTCTCAGATCCAATTTCTGTTGCACATGATCGAATTTGTGTCTCTGAAGAAGGCCTGAAGTTTGTGCATTGAGGGCTGTGCTCCCGGTCATAGCAAACCAGGGCAGACACCCTCAGCCATCTCCCTTGGCTCTGTACCTGAAGCCACCAAGGTTTCCAAAGCTGCAGGCGTCCTAGTGGGGGCTCCTCACCTCTACAGACCGCTTGCTGGCCTCTGGCCTGGCTTGGCTTTGGGGTGGAAGCAAAAGACTGACAGTCCGGGATTTTCTCCCTCCGTTTTCTAGAGAGCAGGGTGTATCGAAAAAGCCCTGGTCCAGAAGACCCAGGTCCAAACCCAGACTCTGTCACCAACTCACAGTGACCCCGGGCAAATCTCTTCTTACCTTTGAACCTCGATTTCCTCATCTTTAAAACGGGGACACTGGTCTGTGCCAGGTGACGCCCATCTCACAGGGATGCTCAGGGAATGAGATCGTGCAAGCTTCAGGGTTTTGTGAACCCTAAACTGAGAGAACGTGAGGGCTTTTAAATCCGTGATAACCGGGTCTGAAGCTATTACTGCCATTCACTGGCAGGGCAGGAGATGCGCTGAGCATTTCCTGGATTCATCAAAGTAATCAGTCCTGGCCTCAATTGCATCCCCAAGTCAATGGAGTGCGCTGGAAAAAGGGCACAAACTCCAGTAACAGAGGTGTGTGTGTCGGGGGGAGGGATCCCCAGGATGGAAGCCTCCCTGGCATCCTCCGAGAGTCCCAGAGGGTTGGGCGGAGGTGCGCAGAGCCGACTGCGCTGTCCCCGCGGGCGCGCGCACCGGGCGCGCGGAGGCTTCCTAGAGCCCAGGCGAGCTGCCTCCGCACGGCGCCGGGTAGTCCTGAGGCTGGCCCCGGCTGCGCCGGTGCCAATCGGAGCGCAGCGCCCCGCTGCTCCCTCCTCGCCCCGCCTTCCCACCCTCCTCCCCAGCTTCACTTGGCCGCGCGAACCCGGCTCCCGGCTGGAGACCTGCGGCCGAGCCACAGCCGAAGGCAAGCGCCATCCCAGACCCCGCGCCGCCGACCGCCGGCCCGCAGGCGACGGGCATGCTGGCATGGCAGGACGGCGGGGCCAAGGCGGCTCCCTCCCACCACAAGATCTCCTTCTCGGTCCTGGACATCCTGGACCCGCAGAAATTCACCCGCACCGCGCTCCCGCCCGTGCGCCCGGCTCCCCGGGAAGCCAGGAAAAGTTTGGCGGAGGTCGAAGCGGGGAAGGATGCCAGCTCCGAGGACCCTGACGGACAGTTGGAGACCCCTGGTAAGGTGCAAGGCGGCCCCCGCCCCAACACTGCGGAGTGTTTGGGGAACAGCCGGGCCTGGTGAGTGGCCCTTAACTGCGTCTCCCTCAAAGAGACAAGGCGCACGGGACTGGGTGCGAAGTGTAGCCTCCGCCTCGGAATTGGAGAGATGCAGAGAGGAGGCTCCCCGAATTCCGGGGCAGGGATTTGCCGCATCCCTGCTCACCCGCCAAGCTTACCCGCACCACAGCTCTGACGCTCGCGGCGGAAACTTCACTGACCCGGCGCCTACCTTGCCAGGCTTACTCATTTATCGGGCATTTAATTCGCTTGCCACGTGCTAGGACCTGGGCTAAGGGTTGGGATAAAGGTGATGAAAATTTCGGAACCTGAGAAATGGACAGCATCATTCACATCACCCCCATTTTATGGATGGGGGAGCTGAGGCTAAGGCTTGCGCCAGGGGTCCTGGTGAGTAGCGAGGTCAGGCGCCTACTTCAAACCACCCGGAGACGCCTGCGAGGCTGGGCTGCCCCACGCGCTCAGGCTCCCCAGACCCAACTGTTGACCCGGGCTGGGGGCGGGGCTCTGATGGGGTGTTGGGAAGCTTTTGGTACTTTTTCCTCAAAACCCTTTGACTTACTCCCTAAGCTGGCGGACACCTGATGGAGGGGTCAGGAAAGTTTGTGGCTGGAAGGAAGGACGAAAGACAGCAGGAGTCCTGCTGGGTGGGGCTTGGGATAAGACCGGGAAAGGCGGCTCCCTGGAGGGGCAGAGGCTCAGGTCTCCCGGGAGGCTGGATGCCGCGCAGCCCCCAGTTCCCCTCCCCAAGTTTGGCGATGATTTCCTGGGGCCCCAGGCGCCTCTGGCGGCGGCACTTAGGCCCCGGCCGGCCGCCTGGTAATTGTTCGGATCTTCTCTCCGAGGGGCCGCGCTCCCTTCCCCCACCCTCGTGATCGATATTCTATTACTGGTGCCTGCATATCTCCTGCCCGCAGCTTGCAGGTACCGACTTCAAACCCCTTTCCCTGTCTGATCCTAATATTGTTCGATTAAAACTTACCTTTAATAGATGACATCTATCGATCCGGCCCCGCACAAATCTGAAACTCTATTAACACGGCGGGAGAGAGAAGATGGGAAAGGGGGAATTTCACTTTAAAGCGGGGGCGGGGGAGGGCAGAGAGCTTAATAACTTCTTTTTTAATTGCTAGGAGCCCTAGACCAAAATAGGCTTCTAGGGTCTGGGGAGGCACAGCCCTAAAGGCGTTTGATATCTAGATGTCTTAATACAATGATCCTAACCCCCAATATGGTTACTCAATAAGGTCACTATTATTTTTAATGCGGGGTGTCAATTCATTCATTCAGCAAACATTTCTTGGACCCGTACTTGATGGCAGATTTGTAAAGGGCAAGAAGACATGATTCCCCTAAAACTGCTGGCGAGGATGTGCAGTCGGGCCTGAGGGAAGCGAGACGTGGGAACAGCAACGGCACCGGGAGTTGGCTTGAGGGGACAGCCGCTTGCTCTGGGGAGGACGGGGAGGAGGTTTGAGGACCCCAAGAGGCTTCTGTTCACCGCCCCCTTCTCCCCTAGATGCTGCTGGCCGAGGCGCCGGCCGGGCGTCCCCCCTGGAGGGTTCCGAGGCGGAAGAGGAGGAGGATGCGGAGGATCCGGGGAGGCCGCGGCGGCGCGAGCGGGCTGCGCGCCTGCTGCCGGGCCTGGCGCGCTCACCTGACGCCCCGGCGGCGGCGTTGGCGTCTGGGGAGCCCTGCGAGGAAGGCGGGGGCCGCCCTGCCGGGTCTCCGGGTTCCCCCGGTTCCCCGCGGCCCCGGCGCCGGCGCGTGGAGTCCAACTGCGCCAAGCCGCGGCGCGCGCGCACAGCCTTCACCTACGAGCAGCTGGTGGCCTTAGAGAACAAGTTCCGGGCCACGCGCTACCTGTCCGTATGCGAGCGCCTGAACCTCGCGCTGTCGCTCAGCCTCACCGAGACGCAGGTCAAAATCTGGTTCCAGAATCGCAGGACCAAGTGGAAGAAGCAGAACCCGGGCGCCGACGGCGCGGCGCAGATGGGGGGTAGTGCGCCCCAGCCAGGGGCTGCAGCGGGGGGCGGCGGTGGCGGCGCAGGGGGCAGTCCCGGCCCTCCCGGCACTGGGACTCTGCCCTTCCAGACTTTTCCCTCCTACTCCACGGCCAACGTCCTCTTCCCGGCCGCCGCCTCCTTCCCGCTGACGGCCGCCACCCCCGGGAGCCCTTTCGCGCAGTTCCTCGGGCCTTCCTACCTGACCCCCTTCTACGCCCCGCACCTATGAATCCGGAGCCTCCGGCCCATCATTGGCATCGTCGTGTGCCCTCGGCTCCTCCACCTAGGTGCCAGTGCGCAGGTGTCAGCACGCTCCTTCCCTGTCAGCAGCCGGAGACGCCACACCCCTGCCCGCCGCGTGCACCCGCGATGCTGGCGGGCAACCAAGGGGTCAGGGATCCGCCCCCGAAGACTCGGGGACCGAGACTGACCTCAAACCTTGCCGTTTCTGGACCTTGCTGTTCACTTTGGGTCAGGTTTAATTCAGTTCAGGGGCTATGTTTTGAAGGTCTGGATGGAGGTTCAGTTCGGGGCTAACTAACAAAGATTACGGGAGGGAAACACCGGGAGCAGCGACGCCTTGGCCGCCAGCTGCTGGCAGCTAGGATGGAAGCTTCAACGGTGCTGCCTCACCCGAGGGTGAGGAGCAGTCTCTGTTCACAGCTGGTGGCTTCCCTTCCTCATGTGTGGTAGTTCAGCCCATACCCAGAGACTTCTTCCAAATCCTGAACAAGGCTGGGGAGAGCTTGGTCCTGGAGCACACATGGGCCGCTCTGAAACAGACTATTTTTAAAATGCATACAACTTGGCCGGGCATGGTGGCTCACGCCTGTAATCCCAGCACTTTGGGAGGCCGAGGCGGGTGGATTGCTTGAGGTCAGGAGTTCAAAAACCAGCCTGACCATCATGGTGAAACCCCGTCTCTTTAAAACAAACAAACAAACAAACAAAAAACCATACAACTCCATATCTCTAGATCTTTACTCAAGATTCGGTCTGGAGCGCAATACTTGTTCCAAATAACCTCCCCAGGTTGTTCCTGAGAGAGGGGGTACCTTGGTTTTCTGAGTAGGCCAGAAGTTTCTGGTAGGAAAGGTGACTCCACTTTGTAGCTAGACTAACCTGCTGAAATAGACAGGTCTGTTGCACTGCAAGCTTTGAGAACAGCTTGGACCAAACCACACAGTGGCCCTAAAGGCATAGAAATGATACTGAAAGCAGCGATGGCTCAACTAATATCACGAGGTCTATGCATGAGGCTGCCTACTTTGATTTGCAGAAGTTGATACTTTAAAACTTCAGTCCTGGCTCATCTGCCTGTCATAGGGTTTCCAGGGCTTCCAATACTGAGCCAGGGAGAGCTAGCTCCACCAGCAGCACACACTGCTACTACATGTGGACAGTTGGACTGTTTTTTAAAAGCACAAACTCAACATTTTTAGATCTTCATCTAGGATTCTGACTTGAAAACAATTCTTGTTAACAAACAGACTCTCCGTGGTGAACAAGGAGGTGAACAAGCTGAGACTGTAAGGGCCAGTGAAAGCAATACTTGGCTGTGAAACGCTGTCCTGTTCGTAATGGATTCACCTCCAGGAACTTAATACGTGGACATGCATTTTAACTGCTGCTTTTATGACATCCCTTAAAAAATTAGTTCTGTGAAATTCCCTTGCCAGTTTTGCTTGGAATATGCTTCCTTTAGTTTTCTACGTAATATAATCTTGTAGCCCACATCGCGGAAACCCAGACATCCGCAGTTTGTCATGTGTGTTTCATTGTCACTTTTGATTACTTGAGGCCAGCTGAGATCTATGTGGATACCAAATTTCTTGCTACTTCTTGGTAGCCTGTGCTATTAGCAATTAAGTTTAATGATCAATGGCTTCAAAGTAAAGCACACTGTTTGGTGTTATGACCCATTCCATTACTATAATCTTGAAATATCTAGTTCTTTTATCAGGAATGATAGAAAATATTCCCATTTTCTCCTAAATTAAATGAAGACCTCATGTTCATGTGACTCTCATAGGATTTGATAGTATATATTATTTAATTACTTAATATCCACTAATTAGGCTCTTTTCCTTCTAAAGATGAATGTCCTCCAAATGACACATTGTAACTTTCGAAAAGACAGTTGGTGCCAGATGAGATTAAAAATGCAGTTACTATACTAGATATTACTCACCTTATGCTTTGGTAAACACTCCTTTAATAACTATTTGTTGGTTTCTCAAAAGCAAAATTCCATATTAAACAGGCAATTCAAATGTGACAATTCCTCTGTAATAAAGAAGCTGAATTTCTGTAATAAGTGGGAAGCATTCATTCCAGTCTTCTCAGGTACCAGAATCATAGACTTCAGTAGAAGAGAGGGAAATGGGAGGGAGGTGGGAGGCTGATCTGTTCCTGGCCTAGCAGGGTGCCGTAATTCCTGACCCTTCCAGATCGTTGCAGAGTAATGCTTGAAGCATGTGATTTTGGATGTCTGCTGCTTTAAAAGGTCCAGTTGCTTTCCAACCAAATCCATAGACTCAATCTACCCATGTGTTTGTCTAATAAATTCTTTTTGTAATAAATTCATTTTTATTTGTTTGATTATCCTTGTTCTCTATTAACAAAGCTTTAAAATAATTTTATAATTATCAGAGGATGTATACATGTATCTCTCCCTTCTCCTCACTAGCTATGGAATATGCTTCCTTTAGTTTTGCATAAACTCCCAAATAGGGAATATTTCTACACTAACACTCCTTTCTTCTGCCATTTCAGACTCATAGATATACCCAAAGCAGCTGCATTTGCAGGCGGTATACACAGACATATTTCGAGCCATTTTCTTAGCAAAACAAAGCATCTTCACAGTATTTGAGTTACATCAACACCAACTTACCAGATTTTTAGGACATTAACTTCTTAGCCTTAACCTTACAAGTTCTTAATACCCCAAAACAGCCTGGTAGGTAACTTTTCAGACTTGGGGCATCTGCTGGTCACAGATTTCTGATGTTAAATATTACCGTTTTCGAAACCACATAGCCAAGGAGCTGTATTTATAGGAGTGACTGGAGAGCATTTCTTACCTTGAGAGAACCCCAATCCAATTTATGGGCAGAAACTAATTCAGTGTGCTTATCTTTATAGAAATAACTTTGTTTTTCCCTTTGACACAGGGTCTTGCTCTATTGCCCAGGCTGGAGTCCAGTGGCACAATCATGGCTCACTGTAGCCTCAACTTCCCAGGCTCAAGTGATCCTCCCAGCTCAGCCTCCTGAGTAGCAGGGACCCCAGGCACATGTTACCATGCTTGGCTTTTTTATTTTTTGTAGAAACAGGGTCTGGTTACCCAGGCTGGTCTGAACCTCCCAGGCTCAAGCAATTCTCCCACTTCAGCCCACACACTACAGGGACCCACCACCACACCTGGCTAATTTTTTGACTGGACGCTGTGGCTCACGCCTGTAATCCCAGCGTTTTAGGAAGATGAGACGAGCGATCACAAAGTCAGGAAATCGAGGCCATCCTGACTATATGGTGAAAACCCATCTCTACTAATAAAAAAAAAAGTAGCCAGACGTGGTGACGTGTGCCTGTAGCCCCAGCTACTCAGGAGGCTGTGGCAGGAGAATCGAACCTAGGAGGCAGAGGTTGGAGTGAGCCGAGATCAAGATAACCTCCGCCTCCTGGGTTCAAGCAATTCTCCTGCCTCAGCCTCCTGAGAAGCTGGGATTACAGGCATGCGCCACCACGCCCGGCTAATTTGTATTTTTAGTAGAGACGGGGTTTCTCCATGTTGGTAAGGCTGGCCTCGAACTCCCGACCTCAGGTGATCCACCCTTGGCCTCCCAAAGTGTTGGGATTACAGGCGTAAGCCATCACTCCCCACCTATTTTTTTTTTTTTTTTTTTTTGAGAGATGAGATCTCACTGTGTTGACCAGGCTGGAGTGCAGGGGCACAACCATAGTGCACGGAGGTCTTGAACTCCTGGACTGAAGTAAGCATCCCACCTCAGCCTCCCAAGTAATTGGGACTACAGGTGCACATGACTGCACCTGGTTCTTTGAAGTTCTCCTTTTTGGATTACATAGCTGTACTCCAGCCTGGGCAAGAGAGTGAGACTGTCTCAGGGAAAAAAAAAAAAAAAAAAAGAATTAATACTTAAATAAAAAACCAAAGAATATTTTTGTTTTTACATCTGTTTATTTATTTTTGAGACTGTGTCTCCCAGGGTGATTGTAGAAGCCCTATCATGGCTCACTGCAGCCTCAGTCTCCTGGGCTTAAATGATCCTTCCATCTCAGCCTGCTAAGTAGCTGGGTCTACAGGCATGCGCTAATACTCTGGCTATTTATTAATATTATTTGTAGAGACAAGGTCTCACTATGTTGCCCAGGCTGGTCCTTAACTCCTGGGCTCAAGAAATTCCCCCACTTCGGTCTTCCAAAGTGCTGGGATTACAGGCACGCGTCACTGTGCATGGCCCTGCCCTTGATTTGTAATGGATTAACTTTATTTTGGATATTTCATAGAAAAGGAATTATAGAATACATGTCCTTTCATATCTGGCTTCTTTTACTGAGCATAATGTTTTCCAGGTTCGTTCATGTCGTAGCACCTATCAGGGTGTCATTCCTTTTTATGACTAATACTTCATTGTACCGACAGAGCACATTTTGTTTATTCATTCATTGGTTGGTGGACATTTGTATTGTTTCCATGTTTTAGTTGTTGAGAATAGTGTTGCTATGACTATTTCTGTAAAGTTTTTATTTGAACACCTATGTTCAATTATTTGGGGCATATACCTAGGACTGGAAATGTCGGATCACATGATAATTCTGTGTTAGCTTGTAGAGGACCAGCCAAATCATTTTCCACAGTGGTTGTACCATTTTACCTTTCCACCAGCAATGTGTGAGGGTTGCAGTTTTCTTCATATATTGGTGAATACTTGTGATTTTCTTTTTCTTTTTCTTTTTTTAAAAATTAAAACCAGCCTAGGCGTGGTGGCTCATGCCTGTAATCCTAGCACTTCAGGAGGCCAAGGTGGGTGGATCATGAGGTCAGGAGTTCGAGACCAGCCTAACATGGTGAAAACTCAACTCAACTAAAAATACAAAAAAAAAAAAAAAAAAAAATTAACCTGGAGTGGTGGCACATGCCTATAACCTCAGCTACTCAGGAGGCTAAAGCAGAGAATTGCTTGAACCCAAGAGATGGAGGTTGCAGTGAGCCGAGATCACACCACTGCACTCCAACTTGGGCAACAGAGCAAGATTTTGTCTCAAAAAATAAAAAATAAAAATAAATAAAAGTAAAACCATGGCTCATGCCTGCAATCTCAGCACTTTGGGAGGCCTAGGCGGGTGGATCACTTGAGGTTGGAAGTTCAGGACCGGCCTGACCAACATGGAGAAACCTCATCTCTACTAAAAATAAAAAATTAGCCAAGTGTGGTGGCACACACCTGTAGTTACACCTACTTGGGAGGCAGAGGCAGGAGAATCACTTGAACCCAGGAGGCGGAGGTTGCAGTGAGCCGAGATGGTGCCACTGCACTTTAGCCTGGATGACAGAATAAGACTCCATCTCAAAATTAAATAAATAAATAATGTAATTTTTTTTTTAAAGAAAAGTCTTCCCAGACTTTTTTTTCTTTCTTTCTTTCTCTCTCTCTCTCCTTTTTTTTTTTTTTTTTTTTTTTTGAGACGAGTCTAACTCTGTGCCCAGGCTTGAGTGCAGTGGCGCAATCTCAGCTCACTGCAACCTCCGCCTCCCGGGTTCAAGCAATTCTCTGCCTCAGCCTCTTGAGTAGCTGTGATTACAGGCACCTGCCACCAGGCCCGACTAATGTTTGTATTTTTAGTAGAGAACGGGGTTTCACCATCTTGGCCAGGCTGGTCTTGAACTCCTGACCTCATGATCCACCTGCCTCAGCCTTCCAAAGTGCTGGGATTACAGGCGTGGGCCACCACATCCAGCCTTGCTAGACATTTATACCTCCCAGAGTGTGGCAAAATATTACTCACAAAGAAGTCAATGGTATTACTTACCAAAGCAATTTTAAAGTACCAGAGTTACTTTTTTCCTCAGATGAACCATAACTGGTGCTTTTCACTTATTAAGCCATTAGCTTCCATCATGGTTTTCTAAAATAAGTTGAATTATAACCACCTTCACTGCGTTTCGGCGATCTGTATATCACTGTCTTCCAGGTAGTGAGATTCCATGTGCTTATGGAGTACAAACCTATGTAACAGGATCCATGCTGATTTCAATTTTTTTTTTTTTAGATGAAATCTTACTGTGTAGCCCAGGCTAGAGGGCAGTGGCACTCCAGCCTCCTGGGTTCAAGTGATTCTCCTGCCTCAGCCTCCCAAGTAGCTGGCATTACAGGTACGAATTACCATGCCTGGCTAATTTTTACATTTTTATTTTTTTTTTTTTTTGAGACGGAGTTTCACTCATGTTACCCAGGCTGGAGTGCAATGGCGCGATCTCGGTGAGCCGAGATCGCGCCATGGTGAAACCCCGTCTCTACTAAAAATACAAAAAAAAATTAGCTGGGATTACAGGCACGCGCCACCATGCCCAGCTAATTTTTTTTTGTATTTTTAGTAGAGACGGGGTTTCACCATGTTGACCAGGATGGTCTCGATCTCTTGACCTCGTGATCCACCCACCTCAGCCTCCCAAAGTGCTGGGATTACAGGCTTGAGCCACCGCGCCCGGCCCATATATTTTTAGTACAGATGGAGTTTCACCCTGTTGGCCAGGCTGGTCTCGAACCCTTGATCTCAGGTGATGCACCCACCTCAGCCTCCCAAAGTGCTGGGATTACAGGTGTGAGCCACCATGCCCGGTCTTTTATTTCTTTATTATTATTATTTTGAGACAGGGTCTCTCTCTGCCACCCAGGCTAAAGTGCAGTGGGACAATCACAGCTCACTGCAACCTCCACCTCCTGGATTCAAGCGATTCTCTTGCCTCAGCCTCCCGAGTAGCTGGGACTAGAGGTGTACACCACCTTGTGCAGCTAATTTTTTTTTTTTTTTTTTGAGACCGAGTCTCTCTCCTTCACACCGGCTGGAGTGCAGTGGTGTGATCTTGGCTCACTGCAATCTCCGTCTCCCAGGTTCTGGCAATTCTCCTGCTTCAGCCTCCTGAGTAGCTAGGACTATGGGCATGCGTCACCACACCCGGCTAATTTTTTGTGTCTCTTTAGTAGAGATGGGGTTTCACCATTTTAGCCAGCCTGGTCTCGAACTCCTGACCTCAGGTGATCCTTCCACCTCAGCCTCCCAAAGTGCTGGGATTACAGGCGTGAGCCACCATGCCTGGCCTAATTTTTGTATTTTTAATAGAGATGGGGTTTTGCCATGTTGGTCAGGCTAGTCTCAAACTCATGACCTCAGATGATCCACCCTCCTTGGCTTTCCAAAGTGCTGGGATTACAGGCGTGAGCCACCATGCCTGGCCTAATTTTTGTATTTTTAATACAGATGGGGTTTTGCCATGTTGGTCAGGCTAGTCTCAAACTCATGACCTCAGATGATCCACCCTCCTTGGCTTTCCAAAGGGCTGGGATTA